GAGAAATGATGACTTTTGAATAAAGAAATGCTATCATATGCATGTATTTGGATTATCACAGTGGATGCCATAAATAAGTACAAATATCACATGTAAGTAAAAATATAAAAATAAGTGAACAACACTGACACGAGCAAACTCATGTCTGCATTTCACCAGCTATATGAACATGAGAAAGTGCAGTAAGTAGCCCCTATAAAATAGTTTGAGAGGTAGTAACAGTATAGGAATTACTTTTGTAAAGTTAAGTTGCCACAGTCCACGTAAAACATTTGATGTCTAGTATAGGGTAAGATAGATTTTAGCTATCATTATTGTTATTATTATTATTATTATTATCTTTATCATCATTCTCATTTATTGTCACTAGTTATAATCCAGTTATCATATGAAACTTGGAAATAACTGACTGTTACCCAGGATGACAGGAGCTCAAGGTCTCACACCAGGGGACACTTGGAACTAAGGGCTGGAGAGAAAGCTTGAAACCAGACTTGTTAGGGTAAAAGAGTTCTGTGAGCTAAGCATAAGACACTCAGATTTGAGTCATGATTTTGCCAACTGCCTGGCTTTGGCAGGGTTAATTTTCCAGAGTCCTTTTAACTTCTGAAGGTTTTCTTTTTCTGAGTAGGAAGGAGATCCAGATCCCCAGCCTGCCCTGGCTTTTAATTGTCCTGTGATTCATTTGGGACAAGCTTTGCAGACTTGCTGCCCTCCGTAGTCTCTTCCCTGGCGACTCCTAGAGGAAGAGCCCCTTGCCTCTGGAATCCAGAACTGCTTTCTCTAGTTTTAGAAAAGACTAACCGCACTTCATCTGCTGGTGAACTCCCTCATGTCTTGAAAATTTTAGTTGAATACTTCCAAAACCTTCAAATGCAAAAACATAACAAAATAAAACAAAAATAAATAGAATAAGCAAATCACAAAACAGAAATACAATAAGAAAACTTACAAAAAAGAAATACCCTGGACTGGACTCAAGTTATCTGAGTGATATCTTCCAGTAGATGTTTGTTCTATAAATCTTATTTTTATAAGCGCTATAATCAGCTTTATGATCCCATACATTTTGGCACTATTTAAATAAAGCAAAGAGGAAGTTGAACTGTTTGTCTGTCTGTTACTTTGTCTGTCTTTAATTTTGAGGTGTCTATCAGGGGACAACAGGTCCCTTAGCCAGAGTTATACCACTTAATATTGTTTTGAAATGAAAAAGTCTTTGAAAATTATTTGCCAAATGCATTAATTATTAAAAGAAAAATCTCAATTAAATAATAAACATATCTCTCAGATTTTTTTGGAAACTTTTTGAGGTCATGATGACTAGATATTCTAAATGTCTTGTTGATGGTGTCTGTCATCATTTTGTTTGTATTTTGCTTAGCTGTTGTGCTAAATCATCAGAGATTTCTCTATTTAGAGGACTTTTATCAATTCTGAATAATAATTCAGATTCAATTTGTTTAAAGAAACTCTGGCTTACCAGGTATATAAACAACCCACATTCAACATCGGAAAATCTAAACTCCAAAGTAGATCATACATTCTCCATAAAATGGGAGGAATTTGTCTGACATAAATTCTAAACGATGACACAAAGATGTCAACATAAACCAGCATCCTGGAGAAAAAGTACAGACACCAGTGAAGAGACGCAGATACGATTTTGATTTCCAGAACTCTGTTATCACCTCTATCATGTCTTCCCCTCAGAACTTCATATCATGAGCTTTGTGTCCCGTGACACTCTCTGTCACCGCACATTACACCTCCCAAGTCTGGCCCCATCAGTGGTTAGTTTACTTTATTTCACTTTTCGTCACTCATCAGAAGTAACACAAGAAACGCCCCATCTCTCCCTCTCTTCCTTTCCCCACCATCTCTCTGTGTCTACCTATTTGTCTCACAAACCCACACATACACGCAGATTCACTATTGCTCTTTCTCTCTGTGAGCTCTCCTCTGCTTTGTGTCACAGAGAAACCAGGCTGGACTCTAGTCAGAGGGATAAAGACAGATTTCATTCAGTAACAACTACTGTTGAAAGGAAGACATCCAAGGAAAACTAAACTCAAGTTTGAAAAAAAAAATCTGCAAAAACAGAACAAGAGCAACAAAAAGCCCAAACAACAATAACAACAATACAGCCAGACACATGTTCAATCCTAGAATGTGATCAAGGAGAGACAGTGAAGGATGTGTAGGAAAAGTTGTTTGCTGTGAACACAGAACCCATATCTGAAGAGAAATATGTAAGGCTGGCAAGTGTCGCCTTCACATTTCTACAAGGACATTTCTACATACTCCTTTTGAATGCTTGCATTTCAAAGAGTCGACTTCAGATCTCTGAGAAGACACTTCTGAGAAATAGAAGACTTACATCTCAAAGGAGCAAAGAAAGGATTTACAATTGTACGGCTTCTCAAGTAACTGTTCTAAGCAAGGGGTTTAGACCCCTGTAGGTCTATCACCAGGTTTTGTCTGGAAAAAACAGTAAATTCTGCTAACATTATTGAGGGCTCATCTCATACCTGAAACCTTTATTCTGAGCTATATGCTCAAATCATATTTTTAAAATTTAAGAAAGGGTCTAGCTAAATGTCTAAGTTGTGTTCTCACAGCTTCAGCCTCCCAGAGTACTGGGGTCATAGTGCCTACACCACCAGATCTCTGGCTCTGGTGAGCTTTTCTGGGTAAATATTTCATGGAGTCAGAAGTACCCTAGAGCCACAGCTTGAAGCCACTAAAATGTAATGCTACAGTTTGATGGACTTGTTCGGGACATGAGCTTGTTTAATTTTCTAAGTGCTAAGAGTTTTTTTACAGTTGATCCTAGGATGCTTGTGAGTTCACTTTTCCTCAGAGCTATCATCCAAGACGGGTAGTAAAGGAGAAAATAAGACCTGTGCTTTGGAAGATCCTGGCAGCCATTGAAAGTGACATGTAGTGACAATAAACAGTAAAGAGCATTTGGAAAATTCCCCAAGAAGCAAAAGCACCTTCCTCATGGCTGAGATGACTAGATTCTTCTGAATGGTGTGCATTCATCTCCTTGCAAGCCCTCTGCTTTCTCCACCCAGAATCTCTGATACTATTGAGCTGTCCACAGGATATGGCATTAGACGGTGCTTATCCAATGGAGATGTCAACAGTTTGTCCTTGTAGAAAGGAGCAACAAAGTCCCTGTTTGAAATGGACGCCTGAGCAGCTCTGTGTCTCAGATAGCTACGGTAGTGACACAGGGGAAAATGTCACTCCCCACCTGCCAGATGGAAGATATGCGGAGTTCATGTCCCCCATAGCGGAAGAATGGATTCTAAGACACAGCGGAGGTTACAAGTAGGAAAGATTCATTGAGAGACCGCTCCTAAGATACGGGAGGCGATCCAAAATGGTTTGCCACTGAACTCACTGCTCCAACAATGTTTTATAGAGCAAAATCAGGAGACGGGTACCAAATCAGGGGTGAGGGCAACATCAGGGGATCCAACTAGCCAACCAGTAAGATTGCAAGTATAACTGCCTAGCTAATACTGATCCAATAGGGAAGCAGTTCATGTAGAAAGGATCCACGGAAAGTACAAAGGCCTTCTGGGGAAGGGGAGGGGCCAGCAGTCACCTGGGCGACTGATGTCAAAATGGACTTTACTGAGCCAGGTGACCAATTATGGCTCAATCTGTAGTTACTGCTTATCTCTCAGGACGGCATGTAGGCCCATCTTTATCTTGAGGCCTGGCCTTCGACAGATGCACCTACAGCTACATGTGTGATATATTCTTCTTCCCTGACTCCATGGAGGGCCCAGCCCTGTCTGGTTGCCCAGAATATTTCTACCGAATTTATCTGTCTATGGGAGTAGCATAACAAAGCACCAAAGCTTAGTGCATTGAAAAACAACTATTTCTTATATAGCAGGCTTTGAGAGTCAGGAACTCACACAGTTCAAATGGACTATTTGTCTGTTTGTTGCATCAGTTAAATTATCTGATTTTTTGGGGGGGTAGTTGATTCACTATCATGCCAGCTGCTTTAGAAGAGGCAGCTAAAAAGCTGACTTTGTACCATTTCACCTTCCAAACAGTGGAATTTCTGTGCTTCTCTCAGAAAAGAGTTAAGGATTTGGGGGCTCCAGAGACCAAAGCAGATAATTTCAGTCTTATTAATGTCTAGTTCAAGAATTGGCATGGTATAATCTTCCCTTGCTCCACTAGGCAGAATGTCACGGACCAGACCAGCCCAGCCTAGATTCAAGGGGGCAGGGGAACAGAATCAATCTTTTGTTAAAAAGCAATGTCTAATCATTTCTAGCCACTTTTATTTTCGAGCACTAACTTGCACAGACATTACTTACACACAAAGACACTTTCACAGTATAAGTAGGAAAAGAATGGAAAACAAATCCCCCATGATGCTATCTATCTTCTCAAATGAATGGTGGACAGATACCAATGAGACAAAAGTAATAATTATTCAAAACATCCCCTAATGTCTACAGCATAGACCACAGATGTATCTGCATGGTCATTAGTAATGCTATTAATTGCTGCTCTTATACAACTTGTTTGCTGTGCAATTTAGTTGTGTTTCTTCCTGTGATTGTTATAACCACTCTTTTGAGAGATTCATGTTATTTTTATTTTGCAAGTAAAGCAATAGAATCAGAAACATTTGTTTCGTTACTTCGGCCATGCAGTTAGGATAAGAGGATGGGGGAGTTTGCTATGAGGCCCCACAGTCCCTGCAAAAATTCACAGTGGCTTCACCCACGCTCTCTCAGACTCCACTGTGAGCTGCCACAGTTTCCGTTTTGGAAATGATGTAACCCAGATTTCTCTAAGGCAGCAGTTTCCCCAGACTCCACAGCTAAAGGCAGAGGCACCGAGACTCAAATCCATGAAGAATGTTTCTTTTTTATTTTATTAATGTATTTCGGTAGTGCTTATTTGCCATTCACAATGATTACATTTATGGTGAAACTCGTGAATTTTTAAGCCCCAGAAATTTGAAGTGTTACACTACCTTGTGGTGATAATTTCAGTAGAATTAAAGGACATCCAAACTGTATGCAATCTTTTATCCTTGTGATGCTTATGACTGTGTGCTAATGGAAAATGTAAATTCTTTGCAATTTACAGCAGATTTTATATCAGTGGCAAGGTTCCCATGGTACTGTTATCTCAGTTTGTCTTAAACATTTATTGCTAATTCGACACTAGTGATACTCTAATTAAAGTTCATTCTCTAAGATGACACAGAGTGTTGTATCAAGCAGCAGTAACAGTCTCTTTCCATCTAGCTTGGCAGATACTTCATGAGTGGTTTATAATAAAAGTCGGAAACAGATTGGTTTATCTGTTTAGGGAAACCATCACTGCCGTCATTCTTATTCTATATCACAACACATTTTTCCCAGCTAATTCTCCTGTTTCATTAGAAGCACTTTTATGCAAAGAGCTTTGGTTTAGGCACAATTGTTAATTAAAGTAAGTATCCACATTACTTAATTGCCTGGCAGAAGTTGTTAGATTTTTCCAAGCATGACCTACACTGTCAGCAGAAAGATTACAAAAATTTTCATAGTTAAAGATAAAAAGCAAAGTTTTAGGGATAAGATCAGGTCGTCTGGCACCCTTTTAATATGAGCAGAATCTAAATAAGTTTTACTCGGTCACTCTTGATTCTGCTTCTTAACCCAACACTACACGGACCGTTGTTTTTCTCCACTCCTACTGTTTCCTCTCCTAGTCACTCTTTTGCTCTCACACTACATATTGGCACTTAAACCATAATACTGATCCTTGTACTTAACCCCAGACATTGTGATGTAACTGATAGGGGGTATGGAAGAGGAATTTGCAGTCCTAACAGATTCTTGGGTGCTGTTGACTCTACTGACAGAAGGATCAAACTTGCAGCATAGCTGGTCTTGTTTTCTGCTACTTGGGATGTGCCAGGGATGTTGACATCATGGATGCTTCCGAAGAACGTAGAATCTGAGTGCTCATCTCAGATTGCATGAGTCGTCATCACCGTCCTGGAAATATCTCCACAGAGGTCCTATCTACAGGAAAGTGCGAGCGACACTCTCGTGCGCTCTTCACCCCTTGTCAGTTGGAGTCCTTGCTCGTTTCCTTGGGGTTCATTCCCTCCAACTTCAGCAGCTGTTCTTCCTTTCTCATATCCCATAGAGCTTCAGCTGTGACCCTAAGGCCATCCTCATGAAAGTGTGTGGATTTCTCTCAGGTTGTTATTTTCAACTGTTCCTTGCAGTGCAAGTCCTGTGTTCTGCCACGCCTTTTCCAAGCCCCAGTCCTAGGCATTCCATGACAACTAGGATGATCTTGGTAAGCTGCTTCTTTTTTAGGAATGAGTGAGGGCCTCGCCATGCCAAAGACCTTGGTGTCACAGCAGTGCTGTTCAGAAAATAAGCCATGCAATGTCTTCAGTAAGTTGGCAGGAAAGAATAAAACAAATAATCTTTAGTGAATATCAGAGCTAGTCTATAGATCTGAGCTCTGTTCATTCCTGAATTTCAATCCTTGCAAATTCACTTTTCCTTCATTACCTTTCATTTCATCGCCTGTACAGTAAGATAAACAGTTGAGTCATTCAGCCTAAGGTGTTGCACATAAAACACTGGTGGCTACTCGTCCTGTCCATCGTGGTTATTTGATTGATGTTATTGGGATCTGTTACCTGGTAGATAAGGGGGTACATGATAAACGCCTAAGCATGAAATTGTGCCTGCTACACTGCCCAGCAAAGGAAAGTGAATTTAAAACACGACTGAGACACCTAACCTATAAAATACTTTCTTTTTTTAACTACTAGTAAGGGGTGAGCTGTAGATATTCATTGATGAAACTCACCACTGACCCAAATCCTTTGTTCTTTATATAAAAGGAAAAACTTGACTAAGTTAAGGGCAAATGCTTTTCTATAGGAGCCAAAAAAAGGAAAGCAAAAAGAACGCCCTTTCAATTCATTTTTGAGAAACCTACAGAGCACTTGAAATATTTTATATTTTATTTTAAATATTTCAGTTTTGCTGGAAAGGTTCATAAGTCAATATGAATAGTCTCGCAATTAAAATATTAACTGAAGGGGTAAGGTCTCCTTTCTCACCTACTGGAATTTAAAGTCACTTAATTTTTTATTATACTGTATAATGTTACTTTGGACTCCCACAAAGACCTGCCCTACTTTAGAAATATTGTATTAAAATCTTTTATTCCTAGCCTTTGGACTGTAAATAATACATAAGCATTGCTTAAAATGGTAAAATGAAAAATGAATCATCCCTTTTTAATAGTCCATATGAATAATCACTGGATCAATAGTTCACAGCATACCACGTTAAATTTAAGTGTATTCAGTAATTCAGTAAAATAGCCATATTTTATACTGTAAAGCATTAAAATGATGCACTATAATAACATCTAAAATCATTCTGCATTTAAATTGGAGCACATATGTACATGATTTTTTCAAAAGTAATTGAAATTTTCTTCTAAAGCTTTTTCCTTGTTTGGAAAATATAGAATGTCTAATCCTTCTTGTGGAGTATATCAAATTAGTAGGACCTCAGTATTACTGATAAAAATTAATTTCAAGAAAACACATTCAGGGTTTTACTCAGAGAGATTTCTTAGAGGAATCTGGAATGTTGTCCAAAGCTAGGTACTTTAATGGCAAAAGCAAACAGCTCCATAATTAGTTGATAATTAGCTTAATGGACATTAATAATTTTTCTTTTCAAACTTTTGAGTGCGTAATGCTAGCTGCAGTGAAGATAAAGTCACTCTATCTTTGCTCTTAGAGACCCAAGCATGGAATGTAAAGCTTGACTGCAAACTAAAATGAACATTTCATTTTAAAAAATTATTATTGTAAAGACACAAGCCACAATTCCCCTCAAAATATTCCCCCAGCTCTGAGTGCACTTGTACCTTCATTCTCGCCACACCCTGAAGCAGTTCTGAAAACCCCATTTCATCTACCCCTGAAGAATTGATTCTCAAAGTATCTAGGACAGGACAAGTGTGTTGAAAGCTAGGAGTTCTACCTTGAGGGACATTATGGCAATGTGTCTTGACCTTAAGAGAAATGAGATCAAAACTTCATTGAGGGCCAGGAATGTAGCTCAGTGGTGCCGCCACCTGCCTCGCAAGAGCAGGGACCCATGCTCGATCCCCGATACCAAAAAAAAAAAAAAAAAAAAA